AACAACAACAACAACATCAGTATTTCACTTTTTTTAAGGCCTAATAACAATGACTAAGGATGACAGAAGAAGAATAGATGCCTGTGAGTTGTGGTGCTGGAGCAGAGTCTTGAACATACTATGGACTGCCAAGAATACAAATAGGTCTGTCTTGTAGAGGGTAAAATCAAGTCTTTGTTTTGAGGCTAGGATTTTGAAGCTCCGCCTCACTTACTCTAGGCACATGGCCAGGAGAGATCAGTCCTTGGAGAAGGACATCATGCTTGAAAGGGTGGACAGACAGCCCAGGAGAGGGAGACCCCGGGTGAAAAGTATTGATACAGTGACTGGAGCGATGGGGGTTGGTGTGTCAGAATTAGTGAGACAGGCTCAGCACAGGGAAGGATTCAGAGCTGCTTTACATAAGGTCGCTATGCATCACAGGCAACTCAATGGCACATAAGAACAATAGCATACTATGACAGTTTGGAAGGAAGAGTGGCATCCACCTCCTAAACAACATGTCTCCAGAAACTTTATGAACTTGATAAATGTCAATGGTTGCAGAGTGGCTTCAGGCCTTTTGTTCATAGGGTTTCTATGAGTTGTGCTCGACTTGAAGGCAATCAACAACAATCATACATTAGTTGGCACATAATATTTTGTTTACTCTTTTCATGTTGATATGTATTTGGATTGTTTCTACTTTTGGAGTAATAATGCTTTTATGAACATGTGTGTATAAATTTTATTCTTATTCCTCTTGGGAATTTACCTAAGAGCAGAAAAGCTAGGTTCTGTGTTTAACTTTCAGAGCAAAAGCCATATCCTCTTCCAAAGGATCTGCACCATTTTACTAATCGACCAGCAGTGAGAGAGGGTTCCAATTTCTCCATATCCTCATCAAGTCCTGCCATTTGTAATCTTTTCTTAATTACAGCCACTTGCTTGGACACTTACCTTAAAGTTAATTTGCATCATTGGTAGAAGATGAACAAATGCTCTGCTCATGTCTGTAGTGATCAGGGCATTCATTTCTGGTATATTGAGGCACCGTAATGTCATGAATTTCTCTTGGGACATGCCAACTTTTGAACCCAAGACATCAGCAATGGCTGACAAAGGAGAAGGTAAAAATAGTAAAAAATAAGATTATTAATAAAGTTAAGATGTTCAAAACAGTTAAACTAGAATTTATCAAGTAAGAAATTCAAAACAGTCTCATGTTTCACCATCTTGGAAAGCCTGAATAACTGTGTTGGTAAACCACTTGGAATAGACAGTGAGAAAGTTAAGCGTTTGTTTTAGGGTTGGTTTTGTTGGGTTTTTTTTTTTTATTTTAGAGGTTTTAAAAAAGATCACTACTAGGGGAGCTCTGGTGGCCTAGTGGCAAGAAGCTGCACTGCAATCCCAGAGGCGCATGGTTCGAATCCACCAGATCCTCTGCCGGGGAAGGAGGGACAATTTCCTCCTGTACCAGTCAGATCCGATTTGACGGTACACACACACACACACACACACACACACACACAAAATAAATAAATAAATAAATAAAAAAGATCACTACTTAAAAACTGTGAAGAGTTAAAAGGAGAATGAGGTAAGGAGCCAAATATGGAAGAGATAAACGTGGCTTTATGACTTCATAGCTTAAAGTCGGACATACATAAAATTTACGTAGGAAGTTCTTGCTGTTGTTAAGTCGCATTAAGTCATGTGATTTTGCTCCTCTTGGCCCTACACTCCCACTGCTACTATCCATTGTCATTGAGTCTGACTCATAGTGACCCTCCATCAGGTATTTGAGGCTAGGAATCTTAATAGGAAGGCACTGTCCATCTTTCCCTCTTAGAACTACTTGCGGATTCAAACCATCAACTTTTGGTTAGAAGGCCTGCATGTTATGGGCATTGCATCTCCAGGACTCATTAGTGACCCTACAGGATAGAGTAACACTGCCCACAGAGTTCCTCCTGCCGTCACTGGGGGGGTTCAAACCACTGACCTCTCAGCAGCAACTGCCTACCCACTACACCACCAGGGTTCCTTAAAAAGTTTGAGAACCAAAAATTTGTCAATTTTCCATTTCATTTTCATTAGTCACCTGTCCATGTTTAGTGTACGAATGTTTTCTCTAGAAACACATCAGAGCTATGTCTACCATAAACACAGTTATCAAATGTTTTAAATGTATCAAACTCTTATCCTGTCAACTTCAAAGGTAATACTGAACCATTTCAGTAAGTATCAATTGCAAGATGACCAGTTGGAAGGGCTCTATGTTAAGAGAATCTGATCTTTATAGGTGCATTAAAGTAAATTAGATACGGCTACCACCTACCTAAGAAGACCTTTTCTTTTCCAATAGAGTAAGTGCCACAGACCACAAGAGTGCGAGGGTTTAGAGTTACAGCTTCAAAGGCAGTGTTGATGGCAAACTGGATAACCTGCTGCTGAGACGGAAAGGAGTATTCTGGACTGCAGTATCTGTAAAAAGAAAGTACAATAACAACAGTTAGAAAGCCAGAGCAGCAAGGTAGATGCTAAATACATTTCACAGCTGGATCACGGATCAACACTACCAAAGTTTACTCACTGTTTGTGGTTAAAATATTTGCTACCAGCTGTTGATACTTTAGGATGGAGTTAGAAGTTTTTCAGAATACCTTTTTCATTGAACTTCTTCAATCACCCTTATATAACAAAGTTGCCTTTTTTAAATTTTATTTTATTGTTTTGTGTGTGTGCACCGTCAAATTCGATCTGACTGGTACAAAAGCAGATTGCCCCTCCTTCTCCAGCAGAGCATCTGGTAGATTCGAACCATGTACCTCTGGGATTGCAGTGCAGCTTCTTGCCACTAGGCCACCAGTGCTCCCCTCGAAACTGTCTTTTGAAACCACTTTCTTTCTCAAAGAATCCATCGAGCCAGTCAGTTATTTTAACATTAAACAAATCCAAATGTAGATTTTCTCTTTTCAAAACCCTTTATCAATCAGGATCAAAGAAAACAGGATTACATTTGCACTGAAGAATTTTGTTTTAGTAAAACAAAACTTTTTAAAACAATGAAACTAAATGTGAATTTAATGAAGTGGTTGAAAATCAAGCAGCTAACACTCACATGGTTGATAACACCTCTTGTCAGAAGACACACAAAACTGTCTTATATAATCATGGAGGAACACAAAAGGCCCAGCTGAGTTTATCTCAGGATAGCAACATTCCGTGAAAAAAGAACCCTAAGAATACTACACATCTATTTACACATGCATATATATGCATATATGGGATGAAAACTATACCGTTTTACTGAAAAGTCACAACAATCACAGAAGGAGAAATGAAGGAAAGCCATAGGCTTTTTCTAATAAAAATCTAGAGAAATTAAAAATTGTATGTGGAACAAAACTAATTCATAAGAAAAAATATTTGCCAATTTTCGGTATTTACTGGGCCTTAAGGAACATATGAAAGAATAGAAAAATGAACTGCAGTGTTAGGAAAGTGGATGTGGAAAAATCATCTGTTCTAAAATATGTTATAAAAACTTCTTCAAATAGTCTAAAAACATTATTTCTAGAAAATGGATGAGATGCTATAAAATATAATCTAAATATAATGGCATCTGTTATTAAAGAACTAAATCATTCCCATCAAGTCAGAGTCAACTCTGAGTTGACCCTCCAGTGGATTTTCAGAGGTTCTAAATCGAAGGAGAGGAGACAATCCATCATTCTCCCAAGGAGCAGCTGGGGAATTCGAACTGCCTGCCTTTGGACTGGCAGTGCCACTCTTTACCCACTAGGCCACCAGAGCTCCCATTATAACAATGTTGTTGTGGTACACCATTGAGTCAGAACCAACCCACAACTGACCCTCTAGCAGGTTTTCAGAGCTAATAAAAAACATAGGAGAAGATTATCCATCTTTCTCCTACAGAACAGCTGGTGAATTCGAACTGCATGCCTTTGGGATGGCAGCACAATTCCCCACCATTAAACCACCAGCGCTTGCTAAAAACAAGTCCACTGTTGTCAAGTCTATTCCATCTCATAGAGACCCTATGGGATAGAGCAGAAGTGTCCATAGATTTCTAAGATTGTTAAGGGTATACGGAAGCAAATGGCCTCATCTTTCTCCTATGAAGTGCTGGGAGGTTCAAATCACTGACTTTCCATTAGTAGTCAAGTGATTAATCCACTGTGGCACTGTTTTGTTGTCATAGTTACGTGTCATCAAGTCATAGATGACTCATAGCGACCTTATGAACAAAAGTCCTCGACACTTGTATGACTTTCATCCTTGCTCCAGGTTCATAGGGTTTCCGGAGGCAAGCTATTTTGGAAGTGGATGCCACTCCTGCTTCCAAGCTTGTTTTAATTGGGGAGCTCTACCAAACACTGTCCACCAAGGGTGACCATTAACACATTTGACACATCAGTGTCAGAGAGAGTTCCTTATATCTACAGCAGTTAGGATTTCAAACTTGTCACTTTTAACTAACCTTTTTAAGAAAAGTACAAGTGTAACTTTGAATTCTCAGAAACAGAATCCCATCTGGTTTGTTTTCTTGGCACAATTATTACTTAAGAGTTACATGGGTATTTTGAAATGATAGCCTCAAAAACGGTTTTCCTGAAGCTTGTCCCAGATTTTTCTTCTATTCAAAGTAACAAGAATCTCACATAAATGGTATTTTGAAGAAGAAATTACAAAACATTAATCTCTAATCAGTTAAAGGACATGTAGTTTCAAATTGGCCTTAGGCAAGGCTATTTTTAAATAGCATCCCTTTGACAAATTACCTTAAAATGATAATTGACAATACATCTTCTTTTTGATTACTAAAGCTGACAATCAGAGGGGTCAAAGTGGCCATAATTTACAGAGCAAATGTTGTCAGTGAGAAAAGGAAGCCTGCAAACAAAGGCGCTCTTACGTTGTATCCAAGTACAGCGTGTGGACTTTCCGACTTGCAAGAAGCGAACGTTCCATACTGGGGTCTGCTCTGAAATCTCCAGTGTGCAACATGACAGTCCCGTTAGGAAGATGAAAAAGGATCATGACCGCACCTGGACAGCTGAACAACAATATTTTAAGAAATACTTTTAACATGGGCAAAGCACCTTAAGGAAGAAGAGCTACTTCAGTGTCAACTATTAACACTCATTATTAGCTGATCATAGTGATATGGCATTATGTGAAGACGCAACAGTAGTTTAAGTGAAGGAAACTGACATCATTTTTTTTTTTTAAAAAAAAGGGAAAAAATGGATGTGCAGAAAAAAGTACCCAGGAGGCCTGTTGGTCAGACCCTGCATGGGCCCTGGAAAGGCTTGTCCGCAGGACTGCCTCTGGGCGATGGGCTCTGAGCCCTTGGAATATTCTGTGCTAATGTTTTTATACGCCAGATGTCTTGTGCCACATGTACTAGCTTGAGCTGATAGTTTACATCATCAATGTGATCTATGACAAATGTCCATTTGCACCCTGGGGGCCTGGAGTCTGGGAAGCCGAGGTCTGTCACACAGGGGCTGCATGTCTACGTGGCTGACATCCAACAAAATCCTAGTCAGTAAGGCTCAGGTGAGCACCCCTGGTTAGCAGCACTTGGCGTATGCTGTCACACATCATTGCTGGGAGAAACAGGCATGTCCATGCCACTCTTTTGGGAGCTCTGGTGGCCTAGTTGTAAGGAGTTACACTGTCAACCCAAAGGCACATGGTTCAAATCCACCAGCTGCTCAATGGGAAAAAAAACGGGCCATCTCCTCCCATGAGATTAACGGCCTCTGAAAACGCTGGAAGGTCTGCTGAGTCAGTTCTGACTTCACAGAACATAACATGCTGCTCTTTAGGAGAAAGATGAGTCAACCTGCTGATTCTCTAAAACCCTGCAGCCTTGAGAACCCTGTGAGGTAGCTGTACTCTGTCCTTTTGAGTCACTGTGAGCTTGACAGTGAGGTAAGACAGGTTCCAAGGCCTACTTCCCAGTTAAGTAAGATGCAAGATAAGCGGAAAGGTTTCGTTGGGGGTTTTTTCTGTACTAATAGGTATCTAAGCTCATATACCTTCCCCACATCCTGTTTTTCTCCTAAGAAGTGGTAATCAATTTTCTGGAACACTTGAAGAAAACTACTCCCAGCTGAGGGCTGATTGAACAAACTAACTGCTGGAGAAATGACCTAAGTAAATGTGTAAGTAAACCCTCTCACTTAATCCTTCCATCTCCAAAAGTAAAACTCCTCAGTTTACTGGAGAGTTCTATCAAACACAGAAGAACTAATATCAATACTATACATCATCATTCAGGAAATAAAGAGGGAACAGAACACTTTATAAAGCTAGTATTTATCTTGATTACAAAACCCGACAAAAGCACTACCAAAAAATGTAAAACATGACACACATGGGTGAATCTAGCAGACATTGTGCTGAGAGAAATATCTCAGTCACAAAAGGACCACTGTCATAAAAATAGGAGGGACATGGTGGGGGCAAGGAAAGATCAGCGAGATAATGAACACAGTACTGGAATGGGAGAAGTGGGGCACCATCTGAAGGGAATGCGTGATTGGATACTGCATGTATGGCAATTGACAATCTGGAACAAGACATGCAAGTGAACTGGAGACGGGAAAAAGAGGAAACTGGGTATCAATGAATGAATGCAAACCCATCCTTTCTATAAACTTGCACTAGAACAACAATTTAAAGAAAAATACTTTATAAAACTCCAAAACTATAGATCAATATCTAACATGAAAAAAGTCGTAAAAATCCCTAGTAAAATACTAGATGATGAAAGATGGCAATATATTCTTAGTTTTCACAGAAGCATAAGGAACATAAATGCTAACAGTAAATCACATTTTAACAAAAGAAGAAAAATGGAAAGCATTTCTAAGCAAAATCTTCTAAAAATGCTTTTAGTACCAAAAGTCTGAAGAAGTTTAAAGGGAAAAAATTCCTCTAATGTATGTGTGGATTTTAGGCTTTTCATTTACATAAGTGAAAGAAAATTACAAAAGGTTACTTGTGACAAATAGCAGCAACATAATGGTAGTTTTTCTTTTCATATTAGATTTAAAAAATTGACAAATAACATTTAAAGGCTATGCTTAATCTCTGACTATAATTGGGCATATTATATTTTTAAAAGGAGACAAAGTTTATTCAAATTTTGAGAAATATCAAGTCTTTACTTTTAAGTGAAACAATTTTAAGAGTTTTTCAATAACCATTCTTTGTTTTGTCCTTTTTTCGTGTTTAAATTATATAATGTTAAGTGACTTTAGCACTTACTGATTGGCATCAAGCAGAACGACCTTGACACCGTCCACTACACACTCAGTGTCCATTGGCAATGGGTGGATATACTGCTCTTGCACACGAAGCTTCTTCTTCAACAGATTGCTGGTTATCTGCAAAACAGTAAAATATGAAGTATTTTACATCACACCTAATTGAACATCAGGGCATTTTAATAATCTCCTTGTTCATCCAGTTCAAATAAAAGCTCCACAATAGTAGGACAGTACTCTTTATACAAAGGCTGCCATTATTAAATTTAAAAACTATCACTAATATTCCCTCACCTTCACCTATGAAAAGACCACCACCATCCTTCCCCAAATGATGTACACAATCTTTGTGGTTTGGCCCCTGTGCATTTCTGCTGTAGCCTTTCTTGAAGTCTCTGAATTGCTTGGAATAGGCATACTGTTCAGGAGTCTATGGCTTTTCACAAACTCTTCCTTCCCCCTGGATTGGTCTTTGCTCCTTCCTTTGCTAGGTTCTGGAATTGGAACTTGGGTTCAAATTCTAGCTCTGGCATTACTAGTCTCTGGCATGTTAGGGGTTGTTTTTGTTTGTTTGTTTTTAAAATCCACTATAATTAGTGCTATTAACTCATTTAATGGCAGAGCTTCAATTTGGAACTTTTTGGGGATCTTTTTCTATTTTAATCTTAACCAACTTGCAAGGAAACTCATCTAGTTCTACAAATTCAAGTTTAGAACATTAAAACTTACCTCACTACAATACACTGGCGAAGTGAAGTGTTTAGACAAGCCAGCATAATGATCCGAATGGAAATGAGTGAGAAAATAGGCTGTGCAGCCTTCAATCGATCCATACTGAAATGCATCGACCGTGAAACCAGTTCCTGCAATGAAGACACAAGCATGGCAGGCTGAGCAAGCGCTTACAAAGTAAAAGATTCCCAATTTCACTTTAAACAATGAGTCCTCTGTCTCCCCTGAAGCTTCCCAATCAATACAAGCTTGGAAGCAGGAGTGACATCCACTTCCGAAATGGCTTGCCTCTGGAGACTCTATGAACAGTGCTCAGGCCTTCCGTTCATAGGGTTGCTATGAGTCGTCTATGACTCGACGGCACCTAACAACAGCAACATATTCTGCAAAGGGTGACAGCAAGGAGGGGGTGGGGAGGCTTGTACGCTTCTTCGAAGTCTCTTAGAACAGAGATTTCTTAATGAATAACTGCACCAATCACAATGCTAAAATGTAAACCAATGATTTGCTCCTTTGTTTTACCTACTCCTTAGTCCCTATAATTCTAACTCACGCAACAAACACCAAAAAGAGAAGGTTAACTTTTTTCTAAAACATTCATTCTCAATTAGGGAGATACTGATGTATTCTCAAGGAGAGAATATATGATTGGATATTACAAAGGTTTGTGGCCTTTTGAAGGGTTACAATACAAGACAAAAAGGTTACATGGAGCCTTTTCATGTCAATAGATGAGAGGAAATCAAAGCAGCAACTGCAATGAAAAGGAGGTTAAGATACAAGAACTGACAAGAGAACAAACAGCTACGTCCTGGAAAGAGCACAGCCAGAGAGCTCCTTGGTATGGGAAGCTTCCTTGCACATACTTTGGGCATGCTGCTAGGAGAGGCTATTCCACAGGAAGGGACATCATACTTGGAAAGGTGGAAGGTCAGCAAAAGAGGAAGATTCTCCATGAGATAGACTGACACAGTGACTGCAGCAATGAGCTCGACGATGAGGATGGCAGGATAGGACAGGGTTCAGATCTGTTGTTATAGGGCTGCTGTGTATTGTAGTTGACTGGACAGCACCAAACAACAACACATGTTTACTACAGGCAAGTAAATAAATATACTTCCCTAAGTCTACTGAGGCTTCTCAACATGTGGTAAACTAGCTTCTAGCCTCAATCTAGAAAGAAGAAAAATTACTATTAAAACCAATACTGGTTTTATGACGTGCCTAAATTCTGTTCTCTAGATAAACATTCTGAATAAATGATAGATCTAGAGCATTAATAAAGCACTTAAAATGTAAATAAAAATGTAGAGGTCTTACTGAAACCAAGGTATTATGCCCATTTAAAAGTCTTTTCAGAAAAATTACTGGTTTCTCCGAAACCAAAATTCATTTCACTGAGCAGGTTTTCTACTTAAGACATTTGTGAAGGCGTGAAAAAAAATTATAAGTTATAGAAAATGATGAAATTGGGAAACTCAGTTTTAATAGGGTTTTAACTGTGCAACCTGTGATCTTTTCCTTTGAAATGTCTTTGTGTTTTACACTTCTCGCAAACACTTGGAGAGTATCTTTTATTACAGTTAGTTACAGAGATGTGGTTCCTCACATTTAATATGGATTCTTACTATTCTCTTCCTCATCTTTGTGAGAACTAAAATATTTCTCTACACTATTGCAGTGCCTTACATGTAAAATATGCCTAATTAATCAAAGTCTGCTGGACTGAATTAAGGCAAAAGCCCCAGTGGGGGAAGGGGAGAAGTGGAGGATCTAGTAGAGGCCATGAAGTACCCTGAGAAGCAAACACAGGCAAAAAACTTTCATTCTCACACATATGTTGTTGCTGCTGTTATGTGCCATCGAGTCTACTCCAACTCACAGCGAACCTATGTACAGCAGCTCTGAACCCTGCTCTATCCTGAGCCAACTGCATCATGTCTAACTCACCTACCTTCCTTACCCTAGTCACTAAGTCATCCATCTCATCCAGGGTCAAGTGCAAAAAGGCAGCTTTGTTTCTGTAAACATATTAAGCAATTTCCACTTACCAGGTATTTTCTTGTAGAAGGGACACCTCCTTTTTCCTAATCCTCCTGCATTAGATAATTCGGGGCGGTTTTTATTTCCCCTCTGCGGCTCTCCACCAGCGGATTTTACGGAGTTTTTGCCTTTACGTAAATTGTCTGGTCTAGATTCTGTCCTGTGAACTGGTCCTGACTTCTGAGAAGCTCCTTCCTGTAGTGAATTTGACCTCTTCCGTCGCTTTCTTTGGCGTTGTGTCCCCTCCTGAGAAAGTTCCACAGGGAGTTGACTCCCACTCAAATTCTTTGCATCGAATTCCAAATCGCTTAGAGAGTTTTCTGCTTTCCTCTTGCCCCGCTGAGACCTCTTTTTATTAGGACTTACAACAGGACTTAAGTTTGCCCCTTCGAATGCCCTTTCCTCTGGTAATTTCTCTGCTTTCCTTTTGGGGGGTAATCCAAAATACACGCCTATATCCATTTGTTTCATTACTTTGTTAGGAGACTGTCCTGCGTTACACTTGGGCCCAGATGATACCATTTTCGCAGTGTTAGCAACAGTTGGTGTACTAGGAAAATCCTCTGTATTTGAAGTGGAAATGTCACTGTCTAGTATTCCATCCAAAGCCTCTCTGCAGGAACGTACAGAATCAGTAGTCTTAGCATCAACATTCTCCCTTGATAACTCTCGCCTTAGAGATACATGGAAAGAAGGGTGCTCTTCTGCCTGGACTTTAAAAGGGTTTAACGTTTTCTTTTCAAGTAATGAAAAATAAACTGGATTGTAAGCAGCTGATTCTTCAGCCCGCTTCTGTGATGAGTGGGACGCTGAAGTATCAAGGCCCCGTGCTGGTGCAGGTGTGAACAGCATAAAATAATCACCGCTATCTGCCGGATCACCACGCATAGTAACACTCTCACTGTTTCTGGAAGTAGACTGAGACAAATCAGTCAGTGTAGGGCATTTGGACAATTCTTCATTGTATTTATCCTGAGTCAAAAAGCCATTTACTTCGGAGCAGCTAACTTCCTGGCCCTTTAGTGAGGGACCGTGGTGTTTTTTAAACAAAGTAGAGTCACTCTCATCCTCCTCTTGACTTCCATCTTTTGAACTTTCAGTGAAAAATAATTCCTGTTGTGAATCATCCAGCTTTTCATCTGTATCATACATTTCTTCATCACTTTGAAGTGGAGAATAGGAAATTTCACAGTTGTCCAGGTCATTTTCTAGCAGTTGCGAATTGATGTGTTCTGAGCTACTTAACTCCTTGTCAGCAAGAGGCAAACCAGCTCCGACTAGTTTGTCATCATGAAGAAACTCAGCGCATTTGAGAGCTTGCTGAGACTCCTGAATCCGTGTAGAAAAGGAAGTCTTGCTGCTGGTTTTAGTTGGAGACTGAGATTTTCTTAGACACGGTGTCATCAAAAAGGAATCATCAGAAACGTTGCTTAAGTCCTCAATATGTTTCTGATTCAGAGGCTGTTTTTCCTCAAGGCTTCCATGAAAGCCTGATTTAGTCTCAGGTGAACAATTCCAATGAGCACCTGTTGTATGTGAAGGGCTGCTGAAACAATCAGAACCTGCCCGACTTTGTGCTAGCAGGAGGTGAGCATATCTCTTGTAATGAGAAGGAATTGTTGAGGTACACAAAAGACCGTCAGGACACTCTGAAAATGTAAGAGGTGGGGGTGGTGGTGGGGGGGGGGAAGAGTTAGAGGATCAAAGCACAAACCAAGCTCTGCCAGCAGAAGCAATCTAAGGTGCCCCCACCCAAAGCCACTGGCGTGGAGTCAAGTACGACTCCCAGCAACGCTGCAGGATGGAGGAGAACTGCTCATAGGGCTTCCAAGACTAAATAGTTATAGACCGCCTCCTCCTCATCCTGTAGGGCAGCCGGTGGATTCCAAACGCCAATCTTTGCAGCTCAATACTTGAGCCACACCACCACCAGAGCTCCCTCCGTTGGTTAACACGTGGTGGAAAATCATCAGCCCACAACAGTGATTCCTAACTGCAGGGACCAAAAGATAGACACAAAATGTCAACATTTAAACCAACCATGGCATGGGTTTTCAAGGCGCTATAAATATCCTCCTAAACTCCTTTCCAATAACCTTTATTTTTTACAATAAAATTATTTTTAATATCCTTCCTCCCTCCTCACACACCAACGTGAGTGAGCTCTTCAAAAAGATAACTCTTGTACTTGGGGCGGGATTTTATACCAATGAAATAATTTTTCTTTTACTTTTCAAAGAGAAGTGTGAACTGGGGGAGGGGTGGGCAGAGAGAAAAATGCAACAATGAATGTATGGAAATCCAAATCTCTGTAAACGTTCATTAAAATTAATTTTTAAAAAAGTGTAACTCTTAAAAGATAATCTTTTAAGCAGATGCTATAAATTTTACACCATCAATTTCACAAGTTTAGCATGGCTTAGTTAATAAATGAGTAAGAAAGACTGGTACTAAATCCAAAACTGTAGTTATATTTTTAAGAACTGTTTTTACCTTATCAGGCAACAAGACCTTTGATAACTGAAGTGTTTAATTAGATTTTATTATTTTAACATTTAATTTGTATACAATTCAACACATCCCCATCAAGTCAAAACCAAGTGATTTATAGTTGAACCTCCAGCAAGTTTTCAGAGGCTTTAAATCGCATGGGAGGAGACTGATCATGTTTCCCCCATGGAGCTAAACAAATGAATGTTAAAATAAAAATGATCAGGGGAGCTTTGGTGGCCTATTGGCAAGGAGCTGCAACTACAATCCCAGAGGCACATGGTTCGAATCCACCAGATGCTCTGCTGGGAAAAGGAGGGACAATCTCCTCCTGTACCAGTCAGATCTGATTTGATGGTACACTCACACAAAAAACAAAAATAAAAAAAATAAAAATGATCATAAGAATAATGCTAGAACGAATAGATTCATCCTGGAGAGGGTGAAACAAGGTTGCTCCTTGGAGGCAAGGATTCTGAAATTCTGTCTGACATACTTTGGGCACACTGCAAGGAGGGACAAGTCCTTAGAGAGGGCTATTAAGCTTGGAAGGGTGGAAACACAGCATAAGAGAGGAAGACCCACGATAAGATGGATTGATTCAGTAGGTGTGTCAAAGACAATAAACTTGGCTCAGGATAGTGCAGGGCTTAGAGCTGTTGTAAATAGGGTTGTTAGAGTCACAAGTAACTCGATGGCATAGAACAACAACAATGACATAAAAAAAAAGAATAATGACATCAATCTTAATAGCTGTTCATATGCTAAACATTTTTAAAATTCTAAGATCAGAAATTCAGTTGAATTGAAAAGTTAATAAACCTGTTGCTGTCAAAACTAAACTCAAGTGTTAGGAGAGATGCTCCCCCAGGGCTTTCCTGGATACCATCTCGAGGGAAGCAGTTCACCAGGCCTTTCTTGTGCAGCGCAGCTGTGTGGGTTCAAACCATTAACTTTTTAAACTAGTTTTTGTGTTGTTGTTGTTGTTACGTCCCACTGAGTCGAGCACGACTTATAGCAACCCTATTAACAGAAGATCTGAACCCTGTCCTATCCTGCACCATCTTCACACTTGAGACGCTAGAGCCCATTGCAGCAGTCACCATGGTGTCAATCCACCTGGTTGAGGGTCTTCCTCTCCCTTGATCACCCTCCACCCTCAAGTATAAACTGTGCCACTTAGGGAACCTATGATGGATAGAAGTAAAGCTTTAAAAACTGGAAATAATTCTTTACTTTCTGTAAATCATTTTAGTACATATTTGCACATGTTATAATGCAGATTGATTTGAAAAATGAACTTCCTTTTCAGGGGAAAAAAAAGTATAAGTTAGAAAAATAGAACTTAAAAATGGCTTCATAAAGTATTGATGAAATACCAAAAAGGTTCCATTTTAGAGTCTATTCAAAGGAGTCTAGTGAGTGAAAAAACCCAAAAGACAACTGTTGGTGAGGCAGCGTCACTTGAAGAGATTTCACGCTGTAGCACTCAGCATGGGACAACAATCTCTAGTTCAGGTATTTAACCAACTTAGAACTACTGGCATTTGGTTGGATTATGCTTTTAAGGAAAAAAATCTCATCAATGCCAAATGTTACAAAATAGAGAGTTTTTCTGCATCTTCACAAAGGAAAGTGATAACTATAGAGGTTAATATTTTCAGAATCTTCATTACTTCTATTTCTTTAAAATGTAAAGACTCTATATATGGTATATGCCAACTTTAAAACAGGAAACCATCACACCTCCCTCTCCATATATTCCAAGTAGGATTTTCTACCTAGTAAATAAGCCAAAAATAGCCAACCCACTGCTGTCAAACCCATTAGGACTCAGAGTGACTCTCCACCAAGCCTTTCAAAATGTGCATTTTAAGGGGGCACTGTCTCATCTCCCACAGAGCGGGTGGTAGGTCTGATCTGCTGATCTTCTGGCTAAGAGAGCAGCACACCAAGTAACCCACTGTGCTATTATGTCTCCAGGTCTCCTACATGGTAAATAACAGGGCTTCAGCCGGGTGGATCGAGACAATGGCTACTGCAATGGGCTGGAGAAATGCACAGGATAGAATAAGATTCAGATGTGTTGTTCAAAGGGTCACTACAGACCATATCACTAGGTGGCACTAACAATAACAACATTATGTTACAATGTATATTTCAGCAGGTAACAGCGCTTCAGTTATCATTTGGCACTTGTTTTTTTTTTCTTTCAAAAAACTCCTTGCTGTCCAGTCAAAGTGACATCACCGCTGCCCTTCCAGGGGGCTTTCAGAAGCTGCAGCTAAATCACATGGAAGGAGATGGCTCACCTTACTCCCACCTCACTCCCTTGGAGCCCCTGGAGGATATGAAACACCAGAGAAATGTGATCTATTAGCATCTTAAGATTTCATTTCCTCTTTCCTATTGATTAGCATGATAAAGACAATATAGCTATCTCTGAGTATCAGATTATACTCTTTTTCTACATAATTTCTTAAAAATGGCAAAATGAGTATTTGCATTTTAGAGCTCTCCTCTTAAAATGTCAATATTGCCAACCTTATACTCCTGTGAGAATCAAGCAAATAGAACGGCAATACCTAGCATGAAGTATGAAAAAGAAGTTAAATACTCAGGAAATTTTGGGAAATATATTTAAATGAAATATATTTAAACTGTTTTCAATTTTTTTTTTACAGTTTTACAACTGACTGCTAGATATTTTACCTTTCTGAAGAAAATATGTCTAACCTTGTTTGCTGCCAGAGTAAGTCTTCTACACTTAATTGTTTCATCTCTCTTAGGTTTATTGTTTGTTTCACTGAGCTGCTATGTCTGAATGAGCCTTCCAGACTAGAGAACAAACATGGGGTTGCCACGAGTCAATTCCACGTTCTGTCCATTCCCAGCAGCTCGTCCCTTTTCTGTGATCTTACCTTTCTCAGCGATCTGAGGAGAATCCAAACATTCAAAAACATGCCATCGAGGCGTTTGGCCTATCAGGGAGGAAAAAGGCATCTGGCAATTTGGACAGTATCCATCATAAACTGGACGTGTCTTTGGGGATACAGGTTTGTTTTTGCGGGTTTTAAAGTGCTTTGTTGGGGTGGTCTTCTTCTCTTGAGACTGCTGAATATTATCTCCATAACTCAAATCTTGATCAGAAGTTATTGAAGTCTGACTCTGGGTTCCTCCAATCTCACTGTCCTTTGCCTTTTCTGTAGTGTCCAAGGTTCTTTTCCGTTCTTTCTTATTTCTGCTTCGTTTTGATTGCTTTTTTATTTCGGTTTCATCTTTCCCATCTCTTACTTTTTCAACAGATTTTGGACTCTTTACGGGGCCACTATTTTGATATCCTGTCTTTGGCTTCCTTTTAGATTTATACTCCCAGATGTCATCTTCTGAAAAAGTGTCTTCTTCTAACATGGCAAAATGATAGTCATTAAAGCAGCACTAATCTTAATTAAGAGTCCATGTCTTGCTACAAGAATATTAAACGGGATTATAACAGAAAACCCACTAAAGTTGGGAAGAATCTAAAGCTATACTAAAGGATAGATACATTGACAGGCTTCTAAGCCTTATACTGAGAACATCTGTTCTGTTTATAACACAACATAAATGAAAATCTAACATAAGGGAAGCATCTGAGATGTTTTTCATTGTATGACTTTAACAGGGTCTGATTCATAAAAATAAGAATCAGCAATACTTTGAAAATTAAGCATTAAATGAGAAGTACAAGGAAACTGATGCAAAATAGGCCAAGCTTTCAATCTCATAGGGGGGCTGTGAGTTGTAGTAAACTCGAAAGCATCTAATAACTTGGGGTGATCAGCTTTATCTGAGAGTAAACTTTGGAAAACTGTTGGGGAGATACTGTCAGTTCTCTTTTCCCCCCCTTTTTTCTTTTGGTCAGTTCTCTTTTAAATTGAAAAATGGTCCGAATTCAACCACAGTCCCTGCGTATTCGGTTCAGCAGATGTTTCAAACACTAAATGGCCACTTCAGCTTACTAGTAATACTAGTCACACCACGAAGGGTAAAAAGCAGAGAGAGATGTGTGATCAGCAGAAAACGGAAATGTCCTCGATCAGCGACTCTCCAGTTCGGCTTCCTGGGTCAGTCTAGCATCTTCCTCCATCAGCAATGCACAAACGCTGCACAATGAACAAAATTCAAACATGTGAAGTCATGCCTGCACGGGGGCCACACTCAACTCCAGGCCATTGGGGCGGGCCACCAGGAAAAGTGATCAACCCTCTCTTGCAAGCTTTAACATGGACCTTCAGCTGCTCGATGCTTCCCACCACCATTGAGCTGCAGCTTCTCTCTGCATGGTGGAAGCGGTGAACGAGCTCTTGTCATTTCCTCTGCCAAGCTAGGGCAAGCCCTTTTTAAAAAAAAAAATAAATAAAAAGAGGCGTCAGGGCCCTCCCCCTCGGAGGAGTGAGCCGCGAAGCCCTCGGGAGCCTCCCCGCAGCCCACCAGCCACCTGCGCCGGGGGGAACGGGTCCCCTCGCCAGCTGTGTCCTGTCCCCTCCACTCCCTCTCACCCGGCTTCGCTGGCAACCTATTCGCGCCCGCACTTTCCTTACTATCAGGCGTCAAAATACCGTATTTGTATATAAACCAAAACCTCCAACTTTAAAAGTTTTCTCCCTTGAGTACACCCTTACCCTTCTTCCTTTCATGTCTTGGCGGGAACCTCTCCCCACAGCCAGCGCTGTGTCGAATCGGCTGATCTTTATCTAGGGGGCGGGAATTGAAAGTTAATTTTAAGGGGGAGGGAATTGAAAATGAATTTTAAGGGGGAGGGACTTGAAAATTAATTTTAACAATATCTTTGCACTTTAAGTGCTGCAGGTTGACTTTTTTTATGTTCCAAAACCTGCTCATTTCCAAAGCGGAAGGTGGTAAATAGGTTCTTTTAGAGAGCTGTCCATGTTGAATCTGGCATTCTGAATGTCCAGCCTCAGCCGCGGTGAGAAGCCGTGAAAAGGGCGGAGTGACATGGGGCTAAAGTTTAATTACGTGCCTGGGATTGCAACAACTTGGACTTTGGCATTTTTGTGTGTGTGTGGGTGTGTGGCAGTTTTGTTTGCTGGTTGGTTTTCAGCTGTCGTTAGCGATACGTGGGGCCGGTGCGGGGTGAGGCGAATGTGCGGAGTTGAAACCGAAGGTTAGTCCCGCTCCCGCCCACTCCGGAGCCGCCCGCGGACCCGGCCGCAGCCTCGGGACTCCAGGGAGGCAACATGGCGGCGCCCGGCGGCCGCAGCTGCAGCCTCGCGGGGCTGCTCCCGGCCCAGACCTCGCTGGAGTAGGTGCTGCTGGACGCCGCCACCCGGCAGGAGAAGGACAGCCTGGTCTACCAGTATCTGCAGAAAGTGGACGGCTGGGAGCAGGACTTGTCGGTGCCCGAGTTTCCGGAAGGTGAGGGGCTCCGCTTTCTCGGGGCTTGTCGCCCCGCCCGAGCCGCCGATCGCCCCCTCTTCTCGTCCCGGGTCGCCCGGGGCGGCGGCGGATGGAGGGCGGAGCGGGGCGTATGCACCCCTTTCTCTTGAGTCCGTTAACCGAGTCGGTCCTCGGTGAGCCTTTAATGTCATGGACTCTCGTGGCCGCAGCACTCGATCCTTCCAGGGACCACTGCGCTGGCAAGGCGAAGGTGCGCGGTTCGAATCCCCCCAGCTGCTCCGCGGGAGGAGGGTGGGCCGTCTCCTCCTGTGCGATTTACAGCCTCTGAAAACTCGCTGGAGGGTCAGTTCCAGTTCGATGGTGCACAACTCCTTTCCGTCTGGGTCTCTAGCATCCTCATCATCATTTAATCATTCATCCCTTCCTCTCCCTATAAAAACCCTACAAATCGTCAAACTTAGCTGCCATCGAGTCAAAACCAATCTTGTAGCCGGTTGTAAATCGAAAGCGAGGAGCTTGCCCTTCTTTCTCGCGAGGAGTGGCAGGTGGACTCGAACCTGAACCTACAGCGAGGTGCCACCTGTGAGTTGACAGCGCAGCTGTCTACCAGGGGGCCCCCAGAGCTCATTCGTCCTAGCTTACATCTCTGGACCGCTTGCTGCAGGTCTTGCAGTTCTGACCGCCTCGGGTGGAGTCTGTGTCCTGTACAGTGAGATACTTTTCATTGCTTCTGTGTTACAACTGAGAGGAGTTGCAGTGTCTCGCTTAAGGCCCTATAGCTCATTGCACGCCAGAATTGGAGTAGACAGACCTCAGGCTTGTGGGTTTCTTAGCTGTGCACTTTGTTTCAAAGTTGAGAGACTTTTTTTTTTTTTAATATCTGAATCAGGTTGCCTCTCTCTGGGCAAATGGAATGCAGCTCTGGGAGTCTTTGAAACACTAGGGAGGAGATATATTCCCAGCAGTGCTGTTCTTGCTGTGATAAATGAAACTGTGTTACCTTCTTTGGTTGAGACTGGTATTGTTTTGCCTGTTGCTGTTGGCACGTCTCCTGGCATGACACCGAAACCCCATGTATAGTTAATTGGCTGGATGTGGCAGGCATCCATTGTCTCTTGGGAGGTATTCTAGAACCTTGCCTTTGACAGCAAAGCCTTTCTTTGTATTTTCTCTTTGCACTCCTTTAAGAAGTGCTGCTTGTTTTCAGTCATCAATCCTATACTTTGAAATATTGCAGAATTCTCTTGAAAAAAATAAACTGAGTTTTTATCCCATCAGAGAAACTTTAAATGGCTGGGAGCTCAACATGAGTGGAAAGGATGTCAGGTTAGCGTCTAGAGGAACCTGGTCTTTTCATGGGTTACTTGTTGGGATACTAACAGAGGCCGGCAGTTCAAATTGCAGTTACCCTGGACAAAAGAGGAGGTAGTCTGCTCCTGCTTAGATATCCAGGCCCGCCAGAATTCAGAATCGATTCTGCATCCCAGTCCAGGGAATCTGCTTCTGAAAGGTCAAAACCTGGGAAAAAAACCTAGGAAGCAGTTCAGGCCTGGATACTGGGTCACCAGAAGTTGCAATCAACTCAGTAACCCCTAACAGTACTTAAGTTTCACCTTCATTCTCAGTGGCTATTGTACCTAATTATGTGTGAAATTAGATCCTCTGAAAGCAAACTACTGTCATTGTTTCCAACTCATAGCAACCTTGTAGGACAGAGTAGAAGTGCCCTAGAATTGCCAAAAGAGCGAATAAGTATGCAGCCCGAATAAGTATGCAGCCCGAGTGCTTCTTAGAGGCACGGAGGGCGAAGCGTCATTTCACAGACTTTGGGCATGTTGTTAGAAGGGGGTTATTCTTGGAAAAGGGTCATCATGCAAGTAAAGGTGGAAAAGCCAGTGAAAGTGTGGAAGACCCTCAACGAGATGGATTCCCCAGATGTACTTGATTTTATTCGGTGTTGGCGTAGTGGTAAGAAGTCGTGCTGGCACCCCTAAAACAGGCAGTTTGAGTCTACCAACTGCTCTGCAGGAGAAAGATTGGCCGTCTCCTTCCATATGACTGGCAGCCTCTGAAAAACTCACTAGTTGATCAGCAGTGAGTTGATTCAGACCTGGTAGCACACAACAACAGCCAATTCTGTGAATCAAAGTCCATGTGTATAGCTGCTGTTTGTGTTTGGGGTGAGTTGGGGTTTTTGTTTTGTGTGTGTGTGTGTGGTTTATGGTTTTGTTTTGTTTTTTTCTCCCTGTGGAGATATTTTGAAAGTAAAATTCTATCATGCACTCCTCAGCTTTATTTCTGTCTCCAAGGCCCTATTTTCCAACTACCAGCCCTGCTCTTTGTTGTGAACTTTTGCATTCGGATGGCCGCTTATTACTAACAAATGCTCAGTTTTAGACTACAAAAGTTGGTGGGACTCTTCATCTTTGTCTTAAGCTATTGGTCTGTAAATTTGAATATTAGTCATTTTAACAGGTGATATATTGTCTTGTCCATGTTTTCCA